TTGTTGATAAGACTTATACTGGTGTTTACCATGTCAACGTAACCCTATATTTTTACCCTTCTGTGAAAAAAATGAATCGTTTTGAGGAAAGGGCGGAAATTTTAGGATCTGGGGCTGGTTCTCAGGCTGATTTGATCATACCCTTTTCGCGGGATTTGCCACTGAAAGATGGGTTGTGGTATGAGATCGAGAATGCTACTGATGTTAAAGTGAAGGAATTTGAAATTCCTCAGAATGTTTATCGGGCTGTGTTGGAGGTATATGTTTCTTTTCATGAGAATGACGAGTTTTGGTATGGAAATCCTCCGAACGATTATATTGCTGCGAATAATCTTACAAATTTGGCAGGGAATGGACCTTTTAGGGAAGTTGTGGTTAGTTTGGATGGTGAAGTGGTTGGAGCTGTTTGGCCTTTCACTGTGGTGTATACAGGAGGAATTAATCCTCTCTTGTGGAGACCAATTAGCGGAGTTGGTTCATTTGATCTCCCTACTTATGATATTGAAATTACCCCATTTTTGGGGGACTTATTGGATGGGAAAACCCACAAACTAGGTTTTAGTGTTACAAATGCTTTGAATGTCTGGTATATTGATGCTAATTTGCATCTATGGTTGGATAGTAAGAGCACTAAGACTGAAGGGAAGATTTTGCAGCATGACATTGTTCCTCTCGGTGTTTCTTCTGTGTCAGATTTTAAGGGTTTAAATGGAACATTCATTACAAATACAACCAGGTTCATATCCTCGACTGGATGGGTCAAGTCCTCTTATGGTACAGTCACAACCAAATCTATTCAAGATTTAAGTTATAGTAACTCAATGGTGATGGCCAAGGATGGAGATCTGCAGATCGTGCATCAGATGATCCATTTTAATGACAGTATTTATGCAATGATGCCACCCTCTGATGCTAAATCAAAGAAATCACTCAAGAGGTTTCTTTTATACTTATACTCTGACTATCTCGATCAAGGAAATGGAACTTCATTGTCCGTAGCAAATGTCACATTGGGATTTAATGAGAAGAAGTTTAAAGATGCTGATGCCGGGTCACCTAGCAGTTCACTCAAGAATTTGCAGAATGGACAGGGTGTTATGGTTGTAAAGGACAACTTGGTTGTTAGTGGAGTGGGAAGTACCCAACAAATGTACAATTATGATAGCAGCAAATTTTGCTACTCCAGGAACATAAGCAGCTCAAACTACACCATTCTTTATGATGAAGTGGGAAAGACATGCAATAACAGAGCACAATTTCATTTTGGATTTGGCCTCAGCAGATGGTGGCCTTTTCCAGCTCGAAGAGCTTATTTAGCATCTCATGTAGTTGATCCAAATGGAAATTAGTAATTTGACTCAATTGCTTTTGAGCTACTTTATGTGGAGTTCTCCAATTAGATCTTTCAAGATTCGCACATGTGGATACTCCCAATAAATTGTAAGTGTTCCCATATTTTATTTCAATTTCTTATGAAGACAGATGAATTTGTAAATACTCTTGTATCCTTTCTCTTTTCACTTTTTGTAGTTGAATGAACTTAGGTGTTTCTTTTAACTGGACTTTAGTTAGACTCTTCATCCTAAAACTAAGCTGCTATAACCTATACATATACCCCACATTAGTTTATAAAGAGAATGGTAGGATCAGTTGTCGTGTTTCATAAACTAGAATTTTGCAACCGAATGCCCTTGTCTATCATGATATAAGCTAGAAGTATATTGAGAGACTTCTGGTGTATTAGACTCCATCCTTTGACTTTACAGCGTGTTTAAAACGCTATCTGAATTGACTGCTTCAGGAATAATCTAGTTGAACTGAAATTTTTTGTCATTCACCTTTGCTAATTCAATAATCTAGTTTGTGCTAGATTAAGATATATGTGGCACTTCTCGTGCAAGTGCCAGATATATCTAAAATGATGGAAAGGTCATTTTTCTAACATAGCCAAAAAAATGTGTGCCATGTTTCCTTTTTCTCATCACAATTCTTTGTCAATGATAATATCTTTCATTTAGATTGTAAACTTTTATGTTGCTTGTTCCTCATTTGCTCATGCATATTCTTGGTCTTTAATTCAAAGTTCAGTATTAAACTCTGACATTTTGTTTCAATTGATTGACTCTATCTATTGTCATGGAGCTGTAAATAATGGTTTGTATTCCAGACAAGTGACTACATCCCATAATTTGATCAGATTTTTTTTTTTTTGAAAATTTGATCAGAAATTTGAATTTTCTTGTTGATATATGCTTGTTGCATAAACTGAAAAAATAATAATATACAAATAAGTAATTTTTTAACTCTCTAAACAATGAATAATATTTTTTAACTGAAAAAATTCGAATTTAACTCTCTAAACAATGAATAATATTGTCAGCAATAAAATTGCGTAATTCTCACAAAAAAAAACAGTGAATAATATTTATTATTCAATTAAATAATCGAATACATAAAAAAAAATCTTAACTTCCTAAATGACTAATTTTCATCCATTGCACATTTTATATATAAATATATAATGAATCTTGGGTCAAACACAATGATAATGGATCATGCCATTAAATAGCTAATTTTGAAGGTTTATTTCTCCTAAAAGCCAACTTGTAATTTAATGTCATGGTTCTACTTCCTAATCAAGTCAGATTTTTTTTTTCTTTCTATGCCTACCATTCCCAGTTTTGGTTCAAGTCTATCCCTTGTTTTTCTCCCCAAATTGCCTGCCCTT